ACCCTTAAAATAATATTAGTCTATTTTTTTAATTACATTTAAACCCCTTAAGTTTATTAATTTCATCAAATACCCCTAGAAAAGGTTTAAAAATTAACAAAAACACCTCTACCTACCCATACTTGCCAGATTCTGAGGGCCACCGCTGGTGGTTGCCGGAATCTGTCACAACGGTCTACGTCACACCGTAAATGACCGATAATTCACTGACCTAGCCTTTTTAGGCCAGATCCACAGTGGATCTGGCCGGAAAAGGCCAGATCTGACGTGAAAAGGCCAGATCTGGCCGGAAATTGACGGCCAAAGAAATGGCCGTCGTTGTCTGTCAACGATGGCCAATTGGCCATCGTTGACAGACAACGACGGCCATTTCTTTGGCCGTCAATTTCCGGCCAAATCTGGCCTTTTCCGGCCAGATCTGGCCTTTTCACGTCAGATCTGGCCGTTTCCGGCCAGATCCACTGTGGATCTGGCCGGAAAAGGTCATATCAACGCCTTACCCACCAGATCCGACCAATCTGTGGTGTAACACAACTTTCCGGCAGATTCCGGAGGTGGCGGCCGGAATCTGGCACGGCTAGTGGTGGGGGTGTTTTTGTCATTTTACAAAAATTTTATGTATTGGGGTATTTAGTTAAATTATCAAACCTAGGGGGTTTTTAAAATATTTACAAAACTAAAATATCAATTTTTAAGGGTATTTTAGTCTTTCTATTAACAAAAGGTACCAATTTGTCTTTTTGAAACTTTTGGGTACCAGTCTGTCGTTTCTCCAAACCTTGGGTATGTGTATGTCGTTTGGCCTTTTTTTTTTTATTCAATTGGGGTGTCCGGGCGGGGGTCTACCGAATATCATACTACAAATCTAATGGAACATAAGACCTCTCAGTAATCTACCGAAGTGAGTGACGTCTTACCATCCGGTTACAATGGTAGTTGTTGACTAGACCAGTTATTTGTTATTAGATTGGATGAAATTTAATTTAATTTAACATTATCATATGTTTTATGTTTAGTAAAATATCGGATTAAATAAAATTGAAAAGATTTGATTAATCTTTTTCGATTTTTTCCAATGAAATATTGTCGTCGAAGGCGTCTCCATCTACACCTTTGGGTAAATTACTAAAAGGTCTGAAGAAACTCATAGCCGCCAATTTATACTTTCCAATCCCTCAACCAAATGAAACCAAAGCGATTCTTTATTGGGAGGTTCACATATAAGTATTTAATATCCCACTAATGAAATTTATCAATCATTAAATTGAAGCGATTACATATCATATTATATAAAAGTTTTGTATGGTTACAAGTAATTTTAATATTAAACTTCTAATTTTTAATCACACTCGAATATCAAGTAACTTAACAGTGATTAGGGTAATCTTTCCCCTTATGGTTGGATGATAAACTCTTTAGTCATTGAGATAAACTATAGTGTTATATACAGAGGTTTTGTGTTTGAGTCTGAATGGTAAATTCTTTAGTCATTGGCCTAAACTATACCTAAGGGTTGAAGCCCTTTAGTTAAGGGTGATTGGTTTCGGGTACTTAACATTTTTTTAAGGAACCGAAACTGGCTGATTATTAAGATTTAGAATTGGAACTCAAACCGGTCAGTTCCGTTTCTTAGAAATCTGGAAATAGAACCTAAAACATAGTTTCTGGTTTCGGTTTTGGGTACATGAGTAAATTTCAATTACCTCATTTTTTTATATGACAAATACACCCCAAAAAATTACAAATACACCCTCAATAGTTTACAAAAATTATAATTTAGTCCCGATTCTTATATGGGTATTGTTAGAGTAGATGCCATTGTTAGAGTAGATGCCCTAGAGCCAATCAATTATTGTAGAATTGACTCTTTGTAATAATATTCATTAATCAATAAAAAACATTTTATTCTATATCGCGTAAATCATTATTATTGCAATATGTATTGATATATGTCCTTAGAATGGTAGAACCGTGACGAGAGTATCAAGTGTTTCAAATCTTGATAGTGAGAACCTTATGAGCACATATGATGGTAATTCTAGAAATGTCCGTAGCCCCAGTACTATTCTGAAGTAAGGGCACAGATAATACGGTAAGACTATCATAGTGTTGAACGACCCTGTCGAAAGGTAGTGACTGATCTCGCTTGTCAAGGTTGTTTGGTGATAACCTGGTGCAACACATGGGTGCTTGCTGTAGGCGAATACACCGCAGCAAGTTCACTGGACTGACCCACCAGAGGATTCCATATGGATGGTAACCCCAATGTCTATGGAACAAATCCTCTAACGAATGATTGTGTATGCGATCCTTAGACTTGAGATCACCAGAGCGCCTTGTGCACCGATTGGTGCAGTTTGACACTAGCCTAATGCAGTTCTATTCATAGCTGTCAATACGGTGGTGATTGGCTGCATCAAGGAGTGTATCAAGACTATGGTGGATAGACAAATGATTCATCACTCCCGGGTACGGGATAAGTTATCTCACGGCGCAATTTAGTATATGACAATGACACTAAAGCTGTTGCCACAGTGGGATTGAGTTGTTGCTTTATCCAGTTTACAATACATGTCATTGGTCCAGAAACTGAATACATAATATCGAGAGTAACCGAAGGTTGACACTATTTCTATGCCTTCGTCTCGTCGAGATAATGTATGATGAAAGGATCAAATTGTACGGTAACCATATCGTTGACAGGTAGCTACTTTGCTGAATCCGAATCTATCGGGTGGTCATGATGTCTTGCTAGGGGCCAATCTTGGTCTGTGTATTAGTGAGACGATTAATTGGTGTTAATCACGATATTATACAGTACCAGTATGATGAGGAGCCTATGGGTCACACACATAGAAGATAATTTAAGATTCAAGAAGTAAGAATGGTGTTTTCGTCTTTTTAGGCGAAAGGGTATTTTGGTAATTTTACAGTGTAATTAAATTTGCTGAGGTAGTAGTCTTTTATTTAATTTGTTAGAAAAATTAAATAATTGAAATTACATTTAAGTATGTGTTAGCATATATTTAAATAAATTATCATTATTGTTAAATGTTAATATATATATATTAATTGATTTTAATTGAGATAATGATGAATTAAAATAAATATCTAATTAGGAGTGTTTAAAAATATGGAGTGTTTGGGTTAGAGCCCAAGCCTATTCCATATGGGAATATGACAATTAAATTTTACTATAAAAGAAAAAGATTATTTGTAAAAGGTAAGAGTGAATTCATTCAACTCATTTTTCAGTGTAAAAGAGAAAACACACAGCCCCTTCTCCTCTCTCTCCCACGCCAAACTTGGCTTTGATTGAAAATCAAAATACTCTTCATTTCTTCTTGTTTCTTAAGGCTAAAGAGGGATGTAGCAAATTCCTCCTTAGTTCCTTGCGAATTACGATTATCTTCTTGTGGACTATGTTGGTTCGATCTTACACTTGGGTCGATAGCAAAATATATTCAAAAAAAACTTGGAGGAGCCTCCAAACGTGCATATGATTTCTTAAACTCTAGATTAATTTTTTACAGATTCTTGTTTGGTATAAGCTATAAAATTGTACCCTGATCTTGGTTCTATGGAACGATTCTTGTTATTATTGTTTTTGTTTTTCATTGCCTCAATGGATTGTTTCCTAATAGGTATTCGGACCTCGGTTTCGGTTCTTGTTTTGATTCCCAGTTCTAGCATTATACAAACCAGAACCGAATCTGAAAACTCCCAATTTCAATCTTCCAGAACCGGTGGGTGGATATTTGTTGGTTTCGATTTTACCTTTTACCTATACTCATTCCTACGCTTTAGTAACAGGATAGGCACTTACCACACTCACCTCAATTATTAAAAAAACAATAATTAGAATCTCCAAGCATGTGAATTGTACTTAATAAGATTCCTATAAATATTTTATGTTAATCATGGATCACGTATGTCATATTTTATGCAAATATGAGTGTGAGGCGAGAAAAATATCTTAATCTATCTATCTATCAAAGTGTATATTTATATTTAAATAATACTATACTCATAAATACTTTTATACATATTGATTTATAATGGATCAACTTATATCGTCCAATAGTTTAATAATGAATCCCGTATCGTAAATTGTCATATAAGGCTAGTAAAAGGTGTTACTGAGATATGTTTGTGATGACAGGGTTATTGTTTATATTTACACGAAATCATTTATTGGAATATCAAATCAATCAAATCAATGGTTTTATATTTTACATGAAATATTTATTTTATAATCTTATCATGAGATATAAAGTAACTCCAACGCAAGACTTACGTTGGGCATAGGGAATTAGGGATAAACAGGCTGGTGTGGTGATCATGAGCCATGATTATTGTCGTTGATTAACTTCTACATAATTCCATATTAGCCAGGATTAGCTTTCTCATCCACTGTTTTGAAGTGATAAACGTCTGAATATAAGAGAGTCAATACACCATAAATGCCTCCACCAATACATAGTAGACATTGTATTATTAATAAGCGAAATCGTCCTAGTCGCTTTAACAAAAACATTTGAATAAACAACTACCCACCTGACCTCTCCCTGATTTGGCAGGTAACATTGAATTTCTGAACGTATGTTATAGAGTCATATGATTATTCAAATCCATACGTCAGCATGCAGATTCTTGTAATTTGACGATACACAGCCACCACGCACAAAAGACAAAAACTCACGGTAGCCAAAGTTGTACACTTGCTTATTGACAGCGACTTAACAAGTGTCTTCCCCAACTGGGTAAACAATTATTAAAGATAACTACCCTTTAAAATTCACCCAGAGGTTGCAGCCATGGAAGAAGCAAGCAACCGCCGTTGACTTGTATATAATACAAGTTTCTATACTATAATAATTTTGATCAATAAGGTTATTAAAAGGGTAGTTAAAAGGAGACGTGATCTGATGATAATCAATAGGTGGAGCCGGCGAGGCATTGAAGTCAATAAAAAAAAAATGCTGATATAGTCCTCTTAGTTTGGCGGTCAGATTCACGTATTGAATAAAAAAAAAAACTCAAGTTGTCTCGTTTCTCCCTGCAACAGTTATCGCCATTGTCAGTTGCCAAAGAGGAAGCTAAGAGATCTCTATTTCTCTACTTTACGGCATGGATAGCGACAATTTGTCACGTACAACCGCAGGGAAGCCGATTCGATGCAGAGGTAGTTTTCATACTATCAGTTATATATTAGTGTTTTTCATATTTGTTTTCAAGACTACGAATTTGGCGTGCATTTTCATTTTATCCTCTCCTTATTAAAAAAAAAAAAAAAAAAAAATTGCAGCTGCCATTGCTCGCGTGCCAGGGGAGCCTCTAGTAATAGAAGAGATTCTAGTGGACCCGCCAAGTTCCCATGAAGTTCGGATTCGAATCATCTGTACAGGTCTCTGTTACAGCGATATTACTTTCTGGAAAATGAAGGTATCCCATTAAACACTTCACATTGTCTTTACTTCTTTCATGTTCTTATTTTTAATACGTTTTTTTTTTTTTTTTTCTCCTTTTGGCTTGAAGGATTATCCTGCTGTTTTTCCAAGAATTCTTGGTCATGAGGCCATCGGGTAAGACTGATATCTTTCATTTTCTTTTGGATTTGATTTCAATAGAAAAGAGCTCCTTTTCTGGTTTATTTTTTGGAAACCTTTCCATTAAAGGATTCAACTGGATTTACAATTTCGAGTTGTGAACAGAGTTGACTTTTGATTTATTAGCAGTTTCCAATGGCTTTTCAAAATATTGTTTCGATTTTGTTCTTTTCAGGAATTCTTAATATCACAATTAAGTATACCGTATAATCATGAATGAGTTAATTATTGAGTTTGTTGTTACGAAATGAACGTATGAGGGATCAAGATAAGCTGATATGTTGTCTAATCAATCGATGTTTGTTTTGCAGGAAGGTGGAAAGTGTGGGGGAGAATGTAAATGAAGTAGCAGAAGGAGATATTGTGATACCATATTTTCTAGCAGATTGTAGTGAATGTGTAGATTGCAAATCAAAGAAGAGCAACCTATGTTCAAAATTCCCCTTCAAGGTTTCTCCTTGGATGGCTAGATCCGAGACAAGCAGATTCACAGATCTCAAGGGACAAACTTTACATCATTTTTTATTTGTTTCAAGTTTTAGTGAGTATACTGTGGTAGACATTGCTAATTTTGTAAAAATTGACCCCGAGATCCCTCCAAATATGGCATGCCTCCTAAGTTGTGGAGTATCAACAGGTACTATTCACTGACTCTCATGTATTTGAAAATGTCACTGACAGTTTATGCTTGGAGTATGCTACTTTCTCATGTAATATTATAACTTCTGATAGCTTTTCTGTTCTCTCTTTTTTGGCTGTTGTGAGATCTCTGTTTTCTGCTGTTTTCAATTCTTCCATGATTCAATCAAATTTGGAATTGCCTTGGTCCATTGGTACCTCAGCTGCTTTATTGGAATTCTTTTAAAATTCTCAATGATCTCTTGAAAATTTAATTCTAGTTGGAAAAAAAGCACTTATTTTTGGTTTTTATATGCATGTTTATAAGTATACTGGTTGTTTGAATATGATAATATGTCTGCTCTGTGGGCTCTTTGACAGCTGAACCTACGAAAATTCCCTTATCACATTTTAAGGGATAATTTTCTTTCCATCTTTCTTGTGATGTAAGTAACATTCATCTAGCCAACTTCTGATCAAATCAAAGTTTATTGAATGCACTTTGTTGAAAGCTCTGTATTAAAGCTGTATGAATAGTGGGATTCCAGCATTTACTGTAGTTTGGGTTTTGTAGGGGTTGGAGCTGCTTGGAGAACAGCAAACGTGGAGGCTGGATCAACTGTTGTCATATTTGGGCTGGGATCAATTGGATTAGCTGTATGATTTAGTAGATTTTTCTGTTATAATATTCCTCATATCTGGCAATTCAAATATGGCACACTGATGGAAAAAGGCTTATAGATATATTTCGGTATTTAGGTTGCAGAGGGAGCAAGACTATGTGTTGCTACTAGAATTATTGGTGTCGACTTGATTCCAGAGAAATTTGAAATCGGTGAGTGAAATTTATATGCAGTTTTTGACTTAGGTTTTGGAGAATTGAGTATACTTTAAGTGATGAATGAATTGGACATGCTTACATATGATCTCAACCATTTTATTAACTGACAATTAATTTCTTGTGTGCTGGTTGACTTTATCTTTTCTCATCGATGTAGGAAAAAAGTTTGGAGTCACAGAATTTGTTAATGCTAAAAGTTGTGGGGATAAATCAGTAAGCCAGGTCTTCCTCTTAATCCATGATCTCTCTTTGTACTTCTGATTTTCAGTCAGAGCATTCATTGCCATGACAATGTATATCCTTTTGTCGATTAGATCTTGTGCTTCAAGTGGTTCTTCATAATATTTATTAAGGGAATATATTATGATTATCTAAGAGATCATCAAAAGTGGTTTTATGAAGTTGATCTTGAGTTTCACAGAAATGTTGAGATATAACTATTTTTACTCATGTTAAGCTGTGGTTTTTAATCAATTTGAGCAGGTAATCAATGAGATGACAGATGGAGGTGCAGATTACTGCTTTGAGTGTGTTGGTTCTTCATCCTTGGTGCAAGAAGCATATGCTTGCTGCCGAAAGGTCTGCCTCTTCACTCACTCACTCTCTCTCTCTCTTGCTCACAAGATGATCTAGAGAAAGAGACACCCAACAGTAGAATGATGGGTTGTTTACATCATAGAGATACACTTTACCATTCTAAAACTTGAGATTCGTTAGTTTGAATAATCTTTATCTTTCTTTTTTATGCAACTTTAGGGATGGGGTAAGACAATTGTGTTGGGAGTGGACAAGCCGGGAGCACAGGTGACCTTAAGCTCTTTTGATGTTCTTCATAGTGGAAAAATTCTGATAGGCTCATTGTTTGGAGGACTCAAAGCTAAAACCGATATTCCAATTCTGTTGAAACGTTACATGGACAAGGTAATTTTGACAGTTGCTCTGAGTTTCTTGCCTGGCTATCTTGATTGAGAAACCTAATGAATTTCTTTTCAGGAATTACAACTGGATGAATTTGTCACACATGAGATGAAGTTTGAAGACATCAATAAAGCCTTTGATTTACTTATTCAAGGAAAGTGTCTTCGATGTGTGATATGGATGGACGAATAAGGGAGTTTTTCCTTTGTTTCTTTTTTTGCGTGCCTCCAACATTTACTGCTTTTGTTTCAGTGAATTCCTTTTCAGTTCTCGTGCTTATGTATGTAAGATTCTCAATTGTTTGAATAATTGACACAATCTTCTGGACTTAGTTTCAAAAATCAATTTAATGTAATACAGTACTAGATTTATCAGCATATTAAAGTCATTACTGATACGAAGGCTCAGTAAATTTATACAACCCAAAATGCCTCAGTCGTTAATTATACCCTCAAGATTTACCAATGCTTGGAATTATAACATTTTTATCTCCAAAATATTTTAGCTAGAACTTATAATATATCATATTCCATTCTTCATGCGAACGCATGTGAAAGGACCATACTTCCAGCCCAGATAAAGTAAGGCCTACAAGAAGAACAAGGGGAACTTATAACTCTGAAAACTGAAGAAATCTACATGTGAAGAACNTCTTATTTCACATATTAATTTATTGTGCATATATATATATATATATTGCATGTGAAATATCTGAATGATACGGGTTATCAAAAGATCAAATCATTAAAGCATTCCCTATGTAAGTAATGTTAGTTGGACAATGACATTACATACTAGTAGACATGGACATTTGGAATATGACCGATTACGATGATATATTTGGAAATGTGGTCACCGATACATCTCAGAATTGTACTAGTGTACCATTGATCCTTAGACTTGAGACTTCATGGTTGGATTTGACATAAGATGCATACGGTTCATATGGTGTATAAGCATGAGACTAGTCATATCTTGTGCAAGAAGCTGGTTTGGTCATATGTTATTCATGTGTGAGGATAAGTGATGGTCAAGATGGAATCCATTGACTTAAAATAGTTTGATCTCAAGTTCCTAATTGAATGTCAATAAAAACTAGAAAAAAGAAATCTCTGGCCAGAGTATAAAATATCACATGTAAAATAGTTTCATGATGACATGTTCAATTGTATTGATTGACGATTCAATTATAGATTAATTTAAGGGTTTTGATGTACTATGAACTCATTCTTAATCGGGATTAGACGACGGAGGGATTTTACTACATGGAACATACGATTGAAAAAGGTTTATTGGATTTTAATTTCATTGTGGCTTAAGGTTATGGAGCATTGCTGGATGCCTACCATGACTGGTGGGAGTTTCGATCATAAAAAGTTATGACAAAATATATTGGAATGCGATATTGGGCCCACAGCTAGGTCACAATGAACCTAAGTGGTCGCATATTAAAAAAAAAAAATACGAGGAGAGAGTAATACATATCGTTAAAGGTTAACGACGTTTGGATGTAAACGTATGCATCCGAATTTATGTATTATTAGGGCCAAAAAATGTCCTCGGCCCAAATAGGCCCAAAGACAAAGACAACTTCAACAAAGCTCGGGACCAGGGCCCAATTTTGATTGGGCTCGCAACATAGTTTGCATATCAGGTCCGTTCGATACACCTACCCAGGTTCTCACGACTTGGACCCAATAGAGGCCTGATTCGTTTAAGCCTCCCTGCCAGTTTATCTAGGCCCAGGCCCTCTGATCCTAGACCATCTTTTGGACTTAGGATCTAATTGGAGCCCATGGTTGCCTACTTACCCCGGTACTACTTGAACTCTATCGAAGAGGTCCATCACTACCCTAATTCGTCTAAGATTCATGTCTTAGACCCATTGGGACTCCCTCTCCTACTAAGGTAAGGGAGCCAAAGGTTCTATTTTTTCACGAAACCTCAACTATAAGGACTCTTAGTCCTACCAAGATTCGAAGATCCTATAGTCGATATTTAAATAGAGGTCAACCCTCTCATAGAGGATACAAGCATTACACCTTTAGACCCCGCAGTTCTCACTCTCGAGAATTTCGCATCACTGCCGTAGTTGTGGTCTCCTACTAGGCTTCTGGTAACTTTCTCTCTCCCTAACCCTTACTAAATTAGCCTCACTCGGCCTTGCTAACTTGAGCGTCGGAGTGCTTATGGCAAACACCACCTCGGTGTTTCCTGTTCGCTTCACGCTTGCTTTCTTGCGTGTGTAGGTACAACAGATTGCTAGTGGCATCAACCTCATGGGATCAGACCCTATTTTCATAAAGGTAGATTTTTTGCATCTAAATGCATTAGTGAGAATGATTATTCATAGAAAGCTAGCACTTACCAAGGGCAATAAGGACATTTGGTCACTATTGGATTACATTCAATAATGGGCTAATATATAAAATGGGATTAAGTTATATGCCTTGGTTATAAATTTGTTCAAACCAAAGACTTACTATTAAATTGAAATTGTTTCAAGAACCTAGGAACAATAATGAAATTGTATTAAAGAGTTAATAACAATTTCAAATTGTTTGAATTGGTCCAAGTATATAAATGTTTAGAAATCTCATTTTAACGCAATTTTTGCAAGACTGTTTATTCTTGGCTCTCTCTCTCTCACTATTTGGGTTGATCACACTTAGAGGATTTTCATGCTCTTTTGAAGACCTTGGAACTCCATTTGAAGCTTCAAAGGTTGTAAAGCTAAAAAAGGTTCAATTTCTACCCTAATTAGTGTAAAGAACATGCATTATAAACCTTTTACCATATCTACCATCTTTCCACCATTTTTATCCCCCCCTTGTAATAACTGCTTTCTACTAGTATACTTTAGAACATATTCAATAAAAGCATACATAATTAGTATATGAAAATAGTTGGGCCCAAATTTTTCTTTACTTACAAAACATAATTCTTTACATATATCAAAATAACAAGTACAAAAAACTTAGCGATAGTGGACAGTAATGCCAATCCTCCCCACTTGTCGAAGTCCTTCCGACCGCTGCTCACCTATTTCCTGTAAAAATATGGAAAAACAACAGGTGAGCATAAAAATGCTCAGTAAGTAAATCCCTTAACTCTTTTCCTTCTTAGGTTCTTTCCTTACTTAATTCCTTCTCTTTTCTTTCACTGTTTCTTACTCTCACTGTTCTTTTCTTTCACTGTTTCTTACTCTCACTGTTCTTTTCTTTCTTTCTACTTCTCTTTGTTCTTTCTTTCTTATTCTTTCTATTCTTCCTAACCATGATGAAATTCATGGTAATATGCATGAATAAAATGCATATGCAGTAATGTGTAAAATGCTTTTTCTTTCTTATTTCTATTTTCTTGTTCTATTTCTTTCTATTCTTTCTTGTTTTTCTTTTATTTTCTTCTCTTGGCTTTTTCAAGCCTTCTCATTCTTTATTATTCTTATTATTTTTCGTTCTTTCTTAATCTTATTCTTATTCTTTTTCTTTCTCATTCTTATTCTTTGCCGATCGGACTCGGTTGATGTATGGATTTGAAACTTTGGCCGTGTGAGTGAGTATAGTTCTCATCTACATTCACTCTTGCGGACCGTACAACTTCTTCTTTCTTCTTAGGCCACTCAATTAAGGTGGCATGCATGTATGAATTCTTCTCGGTACAACCCTCATCCAATACACTCTTACGGGCCGTACAATTCTTTTTCTTCTTATCCCACTCAATTAAGGTGGCGTGTTTGTGGGAATTTCTTCTTAGCACTCACGGTTCCCCATCACAACAACCTATTCTTTTCTCTTCTTTAACACTCTTTAATTCTTTAATGCTTATTCTTCCTTTCTCTTTATTCTTTTGAGTGTTTTATTCTTTATTCTTTCTTAAGTTTCTACACATACACAATTATATGTATATGGATGGCTCATGCTTAAAATTTCTTACTTATATGCACTTATAAAATGCACATATGCAATGTTGCATAAAATTAAGGTTTCTACCCAACTCATACTTCACTTAAGAATTTCATCAAACAATAATTGTGCATGAACAAACCCTAATTTAATTATCATTCTATTGGTTTCTTAAACCACCAAAATTGAGAGAAAAACTTTCTTATATCATCACCATACCTACACGGCACAAACACTTCCAAAAGATTTCTCCAATTCTTCCCATTTCAACCCATCATCAAACCATCACATACACTCCTCATATTCAAATATATCCAACAACAAGCATAAATAATCATCAATCCCATCTCAATTTCTCAATAGTAATAACATATACATATTTAAAGGAAATCTCTACTCACTTGATTTTCTTAAACTTTAACTTGAGTTGGATTTTGAGTAGAATTTACTTACCTTATGCTTGAGTAGTCTCTCCTAAGCTCTCTACTCTTGTTGGATTCAAATCTTCTCTTAACCCTAAGCATAAACTTCATAAGACCTTATGCTTGAGTAGTCTCTCCTAAGCTCTCTACTCTTGTTGGATTCAAATCTTCTCTTAACCCTAAGCATAAACTTCATAAGAACTCAACTTTTACACAAATAAATTATAGATAAAGAGCATGAATTCTTACCTTTTGATGCCTAGAATCAAAACCCTATGAAAATCTACTCAAAAGCCCTCAAATTCCTTGGAGAAGTGAATGAAAATTTGAAAGAAAATGGAGGAGGAAGGGACGGTGAAATGAAGGAAATAAGGTTACAAACCCTTATCATCTTATTTATCAATATCTTCCCCCATTTTGCCCTTACACTTTTTAAAAATTTCATCCTTGTCCCTTAGTCAATTACCATAATGCCCTCATTTTTATTGTATCTTTATGAAATTCTATCTCTTTTCACTCCGCAACATTTAACTAATTTTGAGTGAAAATACTATTTTACCCTTAATACAAGTTTAAGGCATTTTCTTCATATTCTCTTAAAATAATTCTAACAAAAATTAACTCAGGGCTATAAAACATAATTTAATCAGTACCCCCATGTTAGGCATTACAACACACCCCCTCGCCCCTCTCCCCCCCCCCCCCCCCCCCCCCCAACCCAAAAAAAAGGCATATTCTTTGTCAACCTACATGGACCACACACTCTACCATAACACTAACACTCTCCTACAAAACATACACCCCTACAGCCATGGTCAAAGCTGCAACTGTAAACCCCTATAAAAGAACCCAAACTGCATTTATTTGCTGCTGTTGCACTACACAAACATATTACTTCACTTGAGAACTATGGAAAATGTAGTAGCCACGCTGTTGCTACTCCTCCAAAGATCCTACGCGACTTTTCTGAATAACCAACAGACACCACCAATTACAGCATTTTCAAGAGGCAACAATGATTATGGTTTGCTAGTTGCATTTTCC